CACACACACACACACACACACACACACACACACACACACACACACACACACACACACACACAGCCCTGCTTGCCACCTGCTTCCAGTCAAACATCTTCTGGAAACAATGGCTCCCTGAACTGAGACATAAAGGCCTAAAGGCACTCGAAAACACACACTAACACAAAACCTGAGAGAAACAGGAGACGGAGAGCAACACGAAGAGATACAGAAGAGGAGAAAGTGGTCAGATGTGAAGAGTCAGAGAACATGAGAACACACAAAGGCCAGGGACAAAGACTGAAATGTGTCTGTGTGTGTCCATCCAGTGGGGTGGAGTGTGTATGGTGTAAATAGCTCCATGTGGTGAGCGTCAGCCAGGACAGACAGCCGACTGTCGCCAACATACCCTCCCTGTCACACACACGCAGAACACACACCAAACTCACAGTCCCACGGGGAGGAATGCTGCAACTGAACTACTTACGATCAAAACCTGCTTACGTTTCCCCAAAACTGTTTCAGTTTATTACAAGTCATCTATTTTATTAAAATGAGCTACTTTGATTATTAGAAGCCCTTTTTTTGTTTTTATCGTGGTGTAACAATCAATAACTGTCTTTTTTCCATGTGCTGTATGAGCTGTAAAGTCTGGGCATCTGGGTTTGTGAATTTAACATATATGTCAGTAACACAGTGAAAGCTCCTCCTGCAACTCTGACTCTTCTCTAAATCAACGCCCAGATCTAATTATTGTGTAGAAAACAGGCAAGCAGCAAAAATACAAATTACTTCACATAAGTATGGTAATTAWGTAGTAAAAATAAATGGGACTACAAAAAAGGGAGCAAACACAACAAGTGTTTTATTTATTTATTTTTTTTCCCAGAGAGTGAATCAGGACAGCTGATTTTCTTATGCTGTAATCTGTAAAAGACACTACTACTGTCATCATCATGATTATAAGGTGCCAAGTGGAAAATAAAATATTTAAAAATGTCACTAACCCATTTTCATTATTTAGCTCACAATCCGATTGTAAATACCTACCAGTAGTTAACATTTTATTGTTAATTAGCTTACTGTTCTTACATTTTGCTAATTTTTACTAAATGTGGCTGTGGCTGAGTGGTTAGGGGAGTCGTCCTGGAACCAGAAGGTCACTGGTTCGATCCCCCGTCCAGCCGTCTCAGTCGTTGTGTCCTTGGGCAAGACACTTCACCCAACTTGCCTACTGATGGTGGTCAGAGGGTCTGGTGGCGCCGATGCATGGTAGCCCCACCTCTGTCAGTGTGCCCCAGGGCAGCTGTGGCTACAGTGTAGTTTGCCATCATCAGTGTGTGAATGTGAGTGTGAATGGGTGAATGTCTGTTAGTGTAAAGCGCTTTGGGGTCCGGAGGGACTTGAAAAGCGCTCTATAAGTTCAGTACCATTTACCATTTACCAATAATAAAAATGTGTTAGTGACACTTTTTTTAACATTTTGTTTTACACTTGGAGCCCCATAGATGGTTTGTTTAAATCAAGATTTAATTTGCCCTTTGAATAACAAATACATTGACAACATGTCATCGTTCCTGGGCTTAATCAATAAAACTAATTTTATTTGATTTTTCCCATAATTTTTAAATCAACTAACRTTTTTTATTGTAAAGCTTTAGAAGTTTAAATTAAAACAAAATCACTGCTTTTTCTCATACTTGTTCACTCTCTTTTTTTTAACTGTTTTATGAATTCTTGGAAAGTCAATCAGCAGCATGTTCATGCTTTCTTCCTCCTTTCCCTCAGCTTTCTATTAATGGAAACATTTTTTCAGAGCTTGTTTACCACAAAATGTCTTTGTTTACTGTAAACACCAAAATACATTGTCTTTTTGTGGCAGGGAACACAGCAAAGTCTGTGACACGAACAGAATAAAAAACAATGTTTTTTAAATAAAAAATACCAAAAACAATGTTTGTATGTTTTTGTGTTTGTGACCAACCTGGATCTGCTGAAGCTGTGGGGGGGATTTCAGCCTTACAGACACAGCCTGACTCAGGTAAGCGTCTACGTCTTCATGAGACAAAGTTTGTACCTGGAACATACACAAAAACCACACACAGAGGACGATACATGGTTTGCCATCTCAATCCCATCTTAGTGTGGGTCCGTTTGTTTGGTCTGCTTGCTGCACAACAATTCAACAGAAAAAGAAACAACGCTGACAGCAGAAACAAAGCTTCCCAGTCGTGTGCAAAACAAACAAACCCTGGAGTTATTTAAATAGAGGAGTGAGAGTGGAATGTGAATGCAGCAGTGATCAGACAACGACGACTATTGTGTGTCGGGCTGTCTGCTCATCTCTGATTATCTACTCGTCCAATGGTCTGTTTGACAAGCTGCTCTCATGTCTGTCTGTTGCTCCTTCATCCATTCAAATCAGCGACTGCCAGTCACCGTCTGTCTGTTTGCCTAGAGTCTGTCTGGACTCCTGCCTGTCAGTCCAGCAGCTCTCTCTATCTAAGATGGTAATATTTGGTGATTATCCAAAACAGATATGGAAATACATACGACCTTTTCTAAATTATGTTTTATGTAGCATTTAGAACATACATACCTAACTGAAAAAAAACATTTAGAAGACATCACCAACATTCATTTCTCATGCATACTCCATACCATCTACTTTTTCATTTATTATTCCTGAGATTAATTTAATCACAATCCAGCAAATCAGGTTATAAAAAGAAAACCCTCACTAAAAATCTAATTATTTTACTTTAAAACAAGAAGAAACACAAAAAGATTGTTAGAGTCGATTCCCTGTTGTTCGTTCCACATCAAAGTCAAAGTTGGTGATTATCCAAAACAGATATGGAAATACATACGACCTTTTCTAAATTATGTTTTATGTAGCATTTAGAACATACATACCTAACTGAAAAAANATTCTCTGCTGCTCTTTTCACACCAAAATCAAAGATTACTGAAAATTTAAAACTACATTTTGTTGGCTTGAGAGTTGGCCAGCTGTCATGGGAAGAATGCACCGAATACAGACACAAAAAGGAAACCATGACACTATTTTACATTTAAAGTATTGACTTTGGAGATGAATAAAATGTTAACTAGGGCCAGATATGGCCCACAGGCCATAGTGTTTGACAGTTTGACACATCTGATCAAAACATTTTACAACCAGCATAACAACAAAGGTCTAAATACTTTATGTTTAAAACCCTTTAGAAGGAGCAAATTAGGAAAAATGTCCGTCTGACTACCGTAATCGGTGCTTTTGTTTTTTGATAGTTTTGACTAAAATGATTCTGTTTGCTGTAAATTTGCACTCACTTTTTGCTTTAAATAAATATTTCACTAAAGTTTGGCTAGATCTAAACATTTTTTGAAAAAAAAAAATACAAATTCTGAATTTTAAATTTTTTTTTGTAATTAATACCTTATATAAATGTTCCCCTCAATTGTTTCAGTACTTTGTGTGTATACTAAAACATGTCTCATCCTAACATAATGATGTTGTATTTTGACCAAAGCATATCAGAAAAGCCCTCTGGTGCTCATGTCAGTTTGTAAAAAAAAAAAAAGGGGGGAGTAAAATATGTAGTCTTTAAAACCGTTTGTGACAGGGCTAATCAATGAAACTGCATCATAATTTGTATTTTCTTTTTATAATGTGACGCATGCAAGTTTAATTTTCATCCTCTAATCTCTGTTTTGGTGCAAAATCCAAAATACACAAATCCTTACTTCTTTGAAACGCAAAAGGCATTAGTTTAAAATGCACAAACATAATAAGAACATAAAAGTATTGAGGTAAATTATAAAATGTCTTGAAATATTTAAAGCCWTTGGATGCTTATAAGACCTGCTGCTGACGCAAGAGCTGAAGTTCCAAAGATCTGCCTCTGTGATTAAACTGGGCTCTGTGTGGCTGATAATGGCTACTGTCAGCCAACACAAAACAGTGTCAACAAGCAGTGTTTCATTTCACATCACAYGTTGACAAAAGAGAGGAATGATTGTTGTGTGTATGTTATTGATGCTGATCCCAAATCAAAAGCTGACCTGTATGTATAATTGTCACCAAATAAATTTGGTCTTTCATTTTCTGTTTACGTAAATCAGCAGGTGCAGATTTACCACCCGTTCATCAACAGCAGAGCAGATTCTACAGCCACAGGAGACATAATAATCACAGAGGAGACGTCATCACTTTTAAGTGCCTAGTTGGTGATAACACATGTGATATTTACCTGTACTTTCAAGTAAAACACAAGTATTATACTTTTATTTTGTGACTGAGAACTAAAATAAGGACGAAGTGTAAAAATGAAATGATATGATATTTTTCTGTTTTCCCTGGCGTATTACATGCGGTTATAGATATAAAAACAATAATAACAAACTGTTAGATAACCAAGCTAATATTACCTGTAGGGTGATGTATGTGATCAAACAAAGAGCAGCCAGGAGGGAGTCTTCAAGCGCACCATACAAGTCAGAAAACTCRAGGCAATCAAAGATCGAGAGGAAGGCTGTAATGCGAAGCGCAGAAACCTCTGGTCCAGTGCTGAACCACAGGAAGTCCAGACTGGGTTCACCAGCTACAAATTAAAACAGAAAAAAACAACAAATAAAAAATAAACACTTTATAACAGATAACTGATGTCTATTAGTCTTTTTAGTATAACTAAAACATTGATGCATCAGAGGCCACTGATGCAACAGTATTATTATTTTTATTTTATTATTATGATAATGAGCAGTACATGTGAGGTTGACAGGGACAGGATGGACCGTGTCAGCTTCTTTCAAAGGATTTCCAGGGTAGACAAACCACTCTTTGATTACAGGAATATCCACAGTGCTTCCTGAAAATGCAAGAATAAAATCCAGTTTTAACTTTAACATTTCCTATTATGAAACTTAAGAACTCTTAAACAGCAAATGTAAGAAGCAAAAAAGACGTAACATTCTTCATAAGCGTATTTTCCACCAGAGGACTTTGTTCTGTTTGTGTATGAAGATGAATGCTACGTTTTCAAGTTTCCAAATGGATATGCTTTATGTTTTCTTTTTTATGTAAATCTTTACACATGTATTGGTGTTTGGGTATAACCCACTCCATGTGTCTGCCTTCTTACGATCTTGCCCGAGCAACAGCAACAAGCCATAGATGAGTTGTCTGCACTGCTTGTAGACGAGGGCCTGAGGCAGCAGTTCAGTGTCCTCCTCATCCTCCAGAGAGTTGCTGCATTCTGTGACTCCGGCACACACGACACTGTAAACCATAAAACCGTCCGCTGCTACATGCTTCTCTCTACATGCCTGTGGAAAACCACACAGAAAAAAAAAAAAAAAGTTTGACCACTGTAGGATTTGTTATGTCAAAGAAAATGAACAAAGACTTGAAGCTGAAATGCTTGTTATGTGTTTCTTACGTGCCTTTAATATTTCAGGATTAACATATTTCTCAAACGCAGAAGGAAGAGCAGGAATGTCCACTCGCTCAAACCCTTTCTGTCCTGGCAGTAAATAAGCGCAGATGCCCTTTTTGAGTAGGTCTCTCAGAGGAGCTGATGCATTCAGAGACTGAGGGACGAGGTCAGTTTGTTCATCTTCTGGGCGACAAAGAGAGCTCACAAACTGGGCTACAGCCTGGACCACCTGATCCTGAGGAGCACCAGAATATGGTACTGAACTGGTTCTTCTGTAAACAAAGTTAAGAGGTTTGTTTACATATATTTTTTTCTCTCTACAGACAAAGTAAATTATAAAGACATAATAAATCACAAATTTCTGCTAAAAAGATAGCCTAGTTAAAGATTTTCTGATTCTGTGTAATTAGTTTTGAAACCGCTTTGTGCTAAAATAATTGCTCTAAGTCACTTGACAGGTACCTGTATGTGGCTGTGGCATTGTTTCTGATCTGCTGCACGCGCTCCTCTGACACGACATCGTTACCCAGAAGACAGGCCAGCAGAGGTAGCTGAGGAACAGCCAGTCCAACGGTTCTGCAGAGCCTCTGCCGGTCGTACATGACAGTGGTTAGGCTGTTGAGCCGCAGCTTTGCCACAGACAAGTAAGGGACACTTAAAAGATGAGATAAAACTGCATGTTCAGATCAGTTTGTCAGCAGCTCTGTCACTTGTTATCTATAAATTACWAAATCCAAGACAGTATTTAGGTCATACCTGTCATTTTGCAGTCATGAAAAAGCACTTTGAAAATCCAAGTGTAACGACGTAATCACTTTTACAAACCTGTTATATATGATGAAGTCTGAGTCCTGTCCCAGAATGCCCATGCTGTCATGCTGACGAGCATAGCTGGCAATCTCATAATCTGCCTCTCGTATCGAGCAAAACACTTCCTGACCTAATGACCTACAGAAAACACCAAATCTACATTCATGTAAAAAGTATACATTTCTGCATGGTGGTAACTGAATTGTAATCAGATTTGAAAACACTCACTTGAGTGCGTAAGGTGTGAATGTTGCCAAACATGATGGCAGGCAAGACATCCTGCCGGGCTGATCGCCATATTCTTTGATGTGACTGAAAATCTTTGATATATCCCTGTTCACCCTGCGTCGCCTCTTTACCTGTGAAACACGGAAGATGCTGTTTGTTTACACAATCTTGAGACCGTTAATTTACAAGAAAAAACAAGTTCACATCACTTTTTTACAAATTAGATGCAGAATATTTTGAAAAAATCTGACTTGTGCATGYAGTACTGCACAGGACAACCTGATGGTTGAAACCTGTTTCTGAGAACATCAAGTAGAAACCTATAGYTCAAACACCAATATCTCTCTATGTCTACCTAATCTGAATCTCCATATGGACTCACAAGGGCATTAGGGTCAGTCACCCAGCAGATTGTCTGCTGTCCTCTACATTAACTGCATAATTCCTGTTGTCTCAGGAACGTCATGAATTTTCTTCAGGACTAATCCCACCCAGGACATGTACTGTTTAAACTCTGGCAAAGGGATGTGTGACTGTGACCACATTGTTTTTTTCATGTTTTATTATTATTCTCTTTTTATTTTACATTTTCTATCTTGTGTTTTTTTCCACTAGAGTATAGCACCTCAAATATCATAGGATGTTTCATTGTTACGAAAATAAAGATTCTGATTTGTGTGCCTGTGCTTACCCACTCTTGTCTTTTCTGCTCTTCTACTACTCCGTCAAAGAAAAAGACCAATCTGATGCCTGCGGAGGTGAACGCCTCCACCCAGCTCTTCARGATTTCCACATATTCCTTCCACTGGCCCCCACACACCCAGTCCTTACACGAATACCAGTGGCAAAGACAAGACATGCCATCCACAACAAGAGTGGGACCTACACAAGAGCAAAAATGTTCATGTAACAAAAGTGGAGGCCTGCTTTCTAACCTACTCAGCAAAAACACCCTGAATCAGACGTTTCAGCTCTTATGTAAAAGGATTACATGCATGCAACAAAGAGTTTGTAGCTCAGTGGTGAACAAAAGTGTTTAAGTACAATATGATATAAAGTTTTATTGCTCAAACCACAATATTCTGATGTAAGACGTTTTGGAATATTCATGTGACATCAACATTACTAAAACTTAAACAATGATAGATAAAAAGTCTGTAATTTATAATAAAAACAGAAGATTTGGCATTTGATTAATTGTGTTTTCTTGTGTCCTCAAAATGTGGTTAAGTATCATCAGAGTATTATTATCTAAATTTAGAATAAGGTTATAATGCTGCTAATTCTGCTTCAACGTTTAACTATTTTAGTACATATAACAACATGCTGCCACTGCCACAATGACAACCCATTAAAAGCTCAGGTCAGTCTTTATGTTATGTGGGTATGGACAACCTTGCTGGTTTTTGGCAACATGTTGTCTGGCCATCTCTCTCAAGTCCACCGTCACACAGGCCTCTGGACAGCAGCGCTCCAAAAAGCTCTGAAGACCTTTTACACCCATTCCTAAACAAAATGAAAACAAAACATTTGAACAAAAGGCCAATGAAATCGCTACGACTGCAAGATAGAAAAGGCATTATTTATTTTGATCATTTGATAATTCATTTTTTGATCAAACTGATCTAGAATAGAATAGAATAGAATAGAATAGAATAGAATAGAATAGAATAGAATAGAAAAGAAAAGAAAAGAAAAGAAATAGCCTTTATTGTCCCGCAGCGGGGAAATTCAGGTGCCACAGCAGCATCAGTTCAAACGTTCACACACTAGTTACTATAAAAACGATAGACAGTACACACACAAAACAAAATTAACACTCACTAGACATGATAAAACTACTAAAAATAAATATATAATATAAAGAATTGTKCAAGAATAGAAAACAACATTTTGTTTCAGAATCTGACATTAGGAATCAGAAATTGCCTGTTTTCAGTGCAAAAACAATCTCAACAGACCAATAACTACAGTGCAGTGAAGTATCACAATGCGGACAAGAAACACAGATGTGCAATTACAGCAGATTATGGTTGAGTAATTACATTGAATAGTAACAGTGCAAATGATTGTGCAGCAGCAGGTAAATGTGTTAATGTCCTTGTTCCAGTAGGTGTAAAAGATCATGTGTACATTCTATGTGAACACACAAAAATACAAAAATTTGTGAACACAGATATACACTAATTTATACTATATACACRCTACTTAAAACTGCTCTACTACTCTATGAAATCTTGTTTTTTATGTTATTAATATCAGTCTATGTTAAAGTCTTTTCTGTATTTTTAATGAATAGTTTTTTAAAAATAGCTTTTGTTATTTTAATCGTTTTAGACGTTTAGTTTTCTTTAAAATGTAACCAGAGTCTGGGTTTTCAGGTATTGGGGCTTTATACGAAACAAGCAAGTTCTATTAACAGCTTCAAAAGGTACAAAGGTAAGCACTGAACTAAGCAAGTTCAGCACTTACCTTTTTACCTTTTCAAGCTGACCACTGGACTTGAGCTGCTTGAATATAAAATTTAAAAACTGGACAAATTAGGGTGTTTTGTTTATTGCTTCAGTAATAATAAAACTTAAGGTATAAACATTCAGGTAAACAGCTTTTGCTCCCAGAATAAACATTTAAAATTGCAGCGGCTTGTTATAATGACACAATTAGGTCATGTATTATAAACAAGTTACATGGCTGCTGTGTAGCACGAGAGTGAACATTTGTTTTAAAACGATGATGCTAACTGAGCTAGCTTACAACCAGTTACAACATCGCTTTCAGCTACATGTATTTGTCCTTGTAAACAAACTAAGTTTAGTCTGCAGGTTCAGTTACCTCTTGTAATATCCCATTTATTTAAAAAAAAAGTCTTACTTTAAGAGCTTGACGTGCGTGTATAGCGTTCAATCGTATGATCTGTTTACTAGACGAAAAGTCCAATTACTTCCTGTGTTGACGCGTGACGTCATKACGTTGCAAAACAAAGCACACGTGCTCGGAGGGACTGGCAAGTCGATTTGTTCTGTTCAAAACAGAGAAGCCGATGTAATTTAGTTCTTCTAGAAGTAAAATGAATGAAGTAGAACATGTCAGATATTCAGTAGGAGCTTCTTCTGATTTAAAATCAGCATTTTAGAAACCTTAAGCATTTTTCTATTTGTTTTATCGAACGAATTAGGGTTTTCCCATATTTTATTGATTTCAGCTCCAAATAGGCCTATTCACAAGTAGCTCTACATTACTTGTATCATTAATGAACATTAAAGATATACAAAATTAAATAAAATAAGTACTATAAGATATTTACATCTTATATATTTTAAAATACAAGTTTACTGTTTTTATTGCTTAAAGAGTCCCAGGTTGCCATTATACTGCCATGCTGTCTAGCAGTGCCATGAATGAGAATGAACCATTATGGTTTTCTGTCAGTCCTCATAATGCCTCTAGGTGTGGATAAGAAAGGGTCTAATTGCTCTCCAAGAGAGTGGGGGGCTCTTCTCTGGAGTCACAAGCTTAGGTCTACCTTCTCAACAGAAAGCAACCCCATCCTGTTCATTCTATTGTCTACACAGAGGGGCAGCAAWAAAGAAAAGAACATATGCTGGCAGTCAGTCCAGCTGTTGTTTCTTAGCCAGATGTTCTCTGGAGTGTGCAGACAATCGTCCCAAACAACCAATATTCCTTSAACAACTTTTTTAAGTGCAATCTACTGTATTAAAAAGGATATTAATTAATTTTCAAAAGAAAAGAAAGAGAAAGAAATACAATAACACCAGTAAAAAAAAAAACTAAAAACAAGCCACATGGTTGAACCAGATGTACTGTAGTCATGTTGTTTAAATAAAGCAAAGGTTTTTATCTCATGAGTATAAAGATGTTAAAACTCATTGCAACAAAAWTTTATAATTTAGCTGCTTGACAATAATGGGTGTTCTGTGAGGTATCTTTAGGGGAAAAAAGGAAAATAAAAGTACTTTAAAATATTCAGTGTTTTTATTTCAAATTATATAAACACATATAAATGTTTCATTAGGTCTACACTTTAATTCTTGGGTGTAGCTTATAAAAGGGCCTTTTTTTACAGCCACACAAAAAAACCACACACTATGCAAACATCTGCGCATTTGTAATCCCCCCCCCA